GTCTTAACATGATTACGGTAACATTGCCTTTGTCTGATTTTGTAACAATTAACTCGGGATGTTCCTTAATAAATTTCCTTGTTTTATTTAGCAGGTTATGGTAGAAAGAGTGTTTTTTGTTGATGCTACTGTTGTGAAAGTAATTTGTGATAATATTGGTGGAACGAGTTATCGCAATGTTCCTTTCTGTGTCATCACTAATGGAAGAAGAAATAGAATCAACATCAGCCAGAATATGTCTGATTGCAATGGCACTGTTGACACTAAATTTTGGACCCAACGAAAGAAAACTTGTGATATCATCTGGAATGCTGACATTACTGAGGTTCTTTACCCAGTCTGGATGAGTGCAAAATTTTCATTGTGTCACTTAGTAACCTGTCAAACTTACGTATATTCGAATTTTTGATAGAATGGAACAATGTATTATAATGTCTTAATTGTCTCGATTGAAAATTATTAAAAATTAAGAGGGATGTGAGTGAAATGATTTCAGTTTTCAAAAGTTCAAGGGATGAGTAAATATTGACTCATCCGACCATAATATGCTAGGAATAGTGTTTTCATTTGCTAATATCCACTGGCAAAACTCGATTCGTGGTAAAAAATCTGCCTCCGTTAAATGCTGCAACCGTTTAAAATGATAAGGATGTAATCCTTGCATTCTTGTCATTCTTCCTATCTAAAATTATTATTTTTAGGATAACTATCAAATAGGTATTCATACATTTCTCTTACTATTGATTGAGGTATATCCATAATTTCTGAAACATTTCGTATGCTTATTTGCGGATTATTTTCAAACATATTTAAAGCAATATCCATACAATGATTTCCCAGTGGCCTTCCTGAGCCCTGCATGCGCTGAAAACTTCCATGGTTTGACAAATTCCGGTGAATATCAGGAAACATTCGACGTCTAGGTACTATGCGATTGGGAAATCTTCTTTGATATTCTCTTAAGGCTGCCAATGAACTGCCAATGCAAAACCCATACACAAAATGCATGTCAGTCAGTCCTCTGTAAATCTTGGCATTTTAAATCGATTTAATAAAAAAATTGATTTTAATCTAGTAATTTTACACTGCTAACAATGTCAGCTTAACGTCAAAATAAGTCATAACAAATCAAAACAACTTTTGTTTGCAGTCATGGCTAACTATGTATAATCAACAATTCATTTAAATTCGCAGTGCATTTCCTATTATGTGACAAATTTTTTAGTTTGATTTTATTCAAAAATGGCTCAATTTGTCGATATTCAATAAGTACCTTTTTTATGTAGAAAACCCTAAGTATTCAAATTCTAAAATTGAATTTCAAAAATAGAATCACACAAAAATTTTGGGGCTAAAATAACCTGAGTCCGTCCCTGTTACATACGCTTCCAAACAGAACTGTCTAAAATTGTTAATATTTTTAAATCCAGCATAAAAAACTAGGCTAGAATACCAAATTTTATGTCTTTATCTCAACACGTTTCGGAAATATTAAGGAAAAACCATCTTCAGGGGAGCCCCTTTAAAAGACCGTAGCGCCCTTAGGGGACGTTTGCCGACCTATGTTTATATAAACTTTTCTTCCTATTTTAAGCTCTAGAAACCGCTAGTAGAATATTGCACACTTTTTTCGTGACACCCTGTATATATATATATATATATATATTTTCCGGGGTAGATATCTATAAACCTCTTGCTTGACGTAGCCCCATTGGAAGAAGTCCATCGGTGTCATATCTGATGATCTAGGAGGTCAAGATATAGGCCCATCACGACCGATCCAACGATTGTTACTCCAGGTGTCCAAATAGTTACGCACACAATTAGGATAATGCGCAGGTGCGCCGTCATGTTGGAAGTACATATGCATCCGAGTTTGCAGTTTGCAAAAGCAAAGGCAAATGCTCGATAAAAAAATTCAAGTATTCTGTACCTGTTAATCTGTTGTCGAAAAAGAAAGGCCCGATAACTTGTCTGAAAATAACTCCTCCCCAAACATTCAAGCTCCATTTATTTTAGAAATCTATTAGCCTAACCCAGTAAGGGTTTTCCGTCGCATAATTGTGCATGTTATACCTGTTGGCCAACACCTATGCTGTTAAAAGATGCCTCATCGCTAAAAAGAACCTTATCCAGGAACGTAGTGTTTCACTCACTTTATTTAGCATTATTCTACTAAATTCCATTCGAGCTGCGAAATCCTGAGGACGAAGCCCTTGATGCAAGCATAGGTGATATGGATGGTACCTATGCTTATGAATAATCCTTTGGACAGAATTTCTGCATATATCAGTTTCTGCTCCAATATGCCATGCACTTAAATGGGGATTTTCCTGCAACTTTAATAGAACCTCCAACTGATTCGCCTCATTGGTGACACTTGGATTATTAATCATTTTTTACTATATTCCACTGCTCCACTTGATTCAAAACGATCTCGTAGTGTGGAAAGTGTTTCCGGCCTTGGATGTCGCATATTAGGGTACCGTTGCTTATAAATGCGAGATGCTAGGAAACTATTTCTTTGGGCTTCGCCCAAAACGAACACCATATTCACTATTTCTTCTTTAGAAAAATTCATTTTCAAACACGTTTTTATTATAATGCTCAAAAAGCTAATTTTGACAGTTTGTAACTAATCAACAATTTATTTCTTTCCAAGGATGATGCGATATTTTAGGGAATTAAGCTTTTCCAATAACCGAAAAAATAGCCGTAAAAACCCTTATGTGTCTAGTATCAAAAAAAGCTTATAAAAAATTGAATCCAAACTTGCACAAATATTCAGGGAGATGTATTTGAAATTTTTGAGAAAAACTACAATTTTCGTTTTTGACCACCCTGTATGAGCAAAAATGAAACTTCGAAAAAGTAACAAATAAGATAAAAGTAGAGGTGTGTAAGTTTTTTTTTGATACAAAATTCAGCACTCCAAATTTCAAAATGACGCATTGAGGGGTTGCCGAAGTGGACGGTTTTCCTCGACAAAACACCTTACATGTCTGTAGCTAATTACCAAAACCCCATAGAATGTTATATCAATCTTCTTCTTTTGAATTGGTTTATCCATATATGCAATAAAATTTGAGGCATTCCATATAAAAAATCACAACTTTGATGTGCAGGTCAAAATTGGGATACCCTGTATAATTGCCAATATCTTAGAAAAGTGCCCTCAAATGTCATATATATCATGCCATAAATAGATTTTCCCAAAATGTATTTGTTTATGAGTAATATTCCGTCCACACATGGATGGGCCACCCTATATATATATACAGGGTGACTTTGAAGTTGAGTCATTAATTTTCAGATAATGATTGTAGAAGGAAGATAAACCAAAATATGTGTGTAAAAATAAAAAAAAAATAAAAAAAAATGTTACCTTGTTTAATAAAGTATCCTCCCGACAAGTATTTCAGTGCGGACCTGTATTTGATCGTGCGGTCTTGGAGCAGCATGCCCTCACCTGTGAGGTCTTAAGTCACCTGATTCACGAGCCCTTTGTACTACATTAACAAAGGCACGAGGGGTTGGTTGCACTCGATTGGGAAACCGATTCGCATAAATCCGTGATGCATCCGGGAGCATTTTGTAAAGACTGCCCCCCTGTAAATAAGAATCATGTCCACAAGTTCAGCATTTTCGTAAACATGTGCCATTTTTGATTTCGTTTGAACCACGCAACACACTACTATTCACTTACGCGTTATCGACTGACGAAAAACATCGTGATAAACGTTTCAAATTCTTTCGCTTTTTTGTTTCCGATGCGATGAACCGGTCAGGCGGATTATATCCGTTGTCGCCAAACACGAGCATATAATAGGCAGGGCGGTACTCAAACTTCCAAAGGGCTATAACTTTGTTACTTTAATTTTACCAGAAAAATGGTAAAGGAAAAAAACATTTCTTTTGATCAGATCTACTCACTGTTAAAATAAATGACTCAACTTCGAAGTCACCCTGTATATATATATCTCCATTTGAATGAACTGAATTTAAAACCTTATAAATTTCAACGGTTCTAGAAGTAGGTAAGTTTTCGTTGAGAAAATCTTCGGGTCTGGACTGATACTATTTTGCACCTTGTCTCATGGTTATGCTCTAGTTTCAGCAGAGTATGCTTGTATTTATAAATAAATAACAGCAAGTTTATACAATATAATTGTCTGATACTAAAAACACAAGAATCCTGACCGGGTGCTTTATTTATTTTCAAATTGTTCATAATCTTAAGAATTTTGTTTTCTTCGGTCTTCGTTAAATATAAAGAATTCTATATTCGTGTCTTATTGAATTTACATTTAATGTTTTGGTTTTGCACCTTTTTGGCCAGTCTTTCTCCAACTTCACTGAATTAGCGCCAGAACTCATTCGCAATCTTTAATTCATCCGTTATAGTTTGACTACAGTTGGCATTTATTTCATGAATTGAATCATTTTGTGTATAGCCCTGTATTTTTCTTATACACTGCCATAAATGAGAGGGTGAATTTATATTTGTTTTCTAGCTGCTCTGACATATATTTATTTTTTGCTTCTTTTATTAGACCAATTAGTTTATTGTTATATTTGGTATATTCGTTTTTGAAAATGATATTGTCTGGATTATCTTTTTCATTTTTGTATAGTTTGGTCTTAGTCTCAACAGATTTGATTAATCCATTAGTTACCCATGGGTGCATTTTTATTGTTTCTTTTTATTATTACTGCCGAGGTATGTAGAACTATTTATTCTCTGTTTGAGAATAGAGACAAATAACTCAAACGCCTTGTCTAAGTTATTTTCTGTATATATATCCAACCAAGTTTCTTTTTCAAGGTATGCATTTAGTTTTTTATAATTTATATACAGTTTTGTGTTTTCATTTAATTTACCTGTAGTTTTAATATCTACATTAAGTTTTAACGCTATAGGATAGTGATCAGTAATTTTCGTTTGTAGAATAACAGGTGTTTGTTTTTTCCTGTTTTGTTTTTATGAAGATATGATCCAGGCAAGATCTACTTTGCTTTTCTATTCGAGTGTAGGAATTTATTGTAGATTTTTAATCGTTTTCGGACATAATGTTCAAGTAGTCCTGTGTTATCTCGTTATCGCAGTCTAATATATTTATATTGATATCACCTACAAGAACACTAACATCATAGTTACTCCGTTCTGTTTCTAAATACCTGTGGAGATTGGAGTTGAACGACTTGCAACATGTAGATGGGGGACGATATATTCAGGTACATTTTATTTGTAAGGCTTTTATTTTTTATATTCAATAAAATTTTATGATCTGTTTCGAATTTATTGTGGACATATACGAGTACACCGTCATTTTTATTATTTCCCTGATTATAATAGTGATGGTAATTAGGTATCATTATAACGGTTAAATCTGCTAGTTGAAATGTTTCTGTATCATAAAATCAAACTGGACATCTAGTGAATTTATTAGCAGAATAAGTTCATCAAAATTTTTTAGAACGCTTCGTATATTTATATGAATAATAGTGAAATCATCCTTAATATGTTTGTTCAACAAAAACTTGCCCCTCTGTATATTATCTGCTACCAGTGTATTTATTCTGGCACATAATGCCTTGCAAAGTTTCCAATAGATACTCATTATAGAAATTATAATATACTAAGTGACATATAAATCCGAACACCCAGTTTAAATGGTTTTATTTTAATAAAAGTTGGTGAATGTATTTATCTTACTGTAAATAACAAGTGAAAAAATTTTCAGCCTTATCAGTTGGACATTCCGGTTTTTATACTGCTTTTTTTTAATTCACTAACGCTCTAAAAATGAATATTTCAGCCGCAGTAAAGATTCAACGTTGGCGGATTTTGGTTCTTGACATCCCTTACGATCGGTTACGATGCCTAGAGTACGGAGACCTGTACGATTTCGTCAACTTAGTGAGTTTGATAGGGGCCGTAGAGTGGGACTTCGGGAAGCTGGACTTTCTTTCCGGGCAATTGCAGTTAGAGTGCAAAGAAGTGTAGACACTGTGGTTAGGTGTTGTCAGGCATGGCTTCGAGAAGGCCGTAGGCAAAGAGCAAGGGGCACTGGACGCCGCTGTAGAACAACAGACCGTGAAGATCGCCGCCTAAGATTATTGGCCTTAAGGGACCGTTTCCCCACTACCAGGTCCATTACAAATAAATGGTTTGCAGAACACGGAAGACCTATTGGCATGCGAAGTGTTTACCGACGAATGAGAAGTTTTGGCTTGTTTTCATACCGGCCACACTGGGTCCTCCCTTTAACTCGAGAACACCGACGTAATCGCCTTGAGTGGTGCAGACAACGGTCACTCTGGGATCAGGAATGGAACAGTATTGTCTTTAGTGATGAGTCTCGATTTTGTTTAGGCATGCACGATGGTCGTGCCAGGGTTAGAAGGCGACGTGGTGAAAGGAGGAATTCACAGTTTTTTGTTGAAAGAGATGTTCATCACACTGTTGGAGTTATGGTTTGGGGTGCTATAGCTTATGGTTCCAGGTCACCTTTAATCTTCATCAGAGGTAACATGAACGCGCAGCGTTATATCCACGAAGTTCTAGAACCCCATCTTTTACCCTATCTTGACACCCTGGCAGATCCAACTTTCCAACAAGATAATGCCCGACCACATGTTGCAAGAGTCACAATAGACTTCTTTCAACATAATGATGTCACATTGTTACCATGGCCACCAAGATCTCCCGACTTATCCCCAATTGAGCACGTGTGGGATATGATGCAACGTCCTCCTCAGACTCTAGAAGCACTTCGAGAGGAGTTGGTGGTTGCCTGGAATGAGATACCACAGGAGGACATTGACCACCAGATCAGAAGCATGCCTAGGCGCGTTGTAGAATGCGTAGCACATCAGGGTGCATCCACACATTATTAAAGGTCAAAGGGCTTTAAAGCAGTGCAATCATTTTGAAATTTTTATCATTTACTTATTATGCTTCATTAAGTACTTATACAAAATTTTATTAAAATAAAACCATTTAAACTAGGTGTTCGGATTTATATGTCACTTAGTATATGTACAGATAAAAATTCAAAATTCAATTTTTGACAAGAATTGTTTTTCTTTCCCACATTTAAAACAGACTTTTAAGATTCCTACATTTCGCAGAATTGTGATTAAATCTGCAACAGTGTCTGTACTGTTTAATGAATGATATTGTTATTAAAAACTTTTATGGACCGGCAATCTAGCAAGATTCATCATCACTTAAACCGGTGTGAAGTTGGCAGACAAAATTTAGCGGACGATTTGCCGAAGATACCCGAATGACCAGTGGCGTCGACATCCTCGACCAGACTGTGATTGTGAAGGATACAGCTAACAGCTCACAACAATAAATATATATGCACGAGAATAAGCACCCCCTATAGGAAGAATCATTTTCCACCCTAATTAAATAATTCGCAGGAACAAGAGTTAACCCAAAACCTTTCTTCGAATTTTCACTTACGGATTACTGTATTGAAAGTAATTAATGAGCTAAATAGCATATACTGAGAAAATCTCTAAAGGGGTGCTAGATGAAAAAATATAAATAAAACTTCATTTTCACCCCCAAAAAAATGATTCCCCAAAATTATTTATATCTCAAAAAAATACTCTATTACAGAGACAATTCATGGGCTAGGTGGCATGGTGTGAGAAAGCTTATGAAAGGCTGGCAGATAAAAAATATGCTAAAAAAATTCATTTTCACCCCCAAGGAAACGATTCCCCAAAATCAGTTGTACCTCAAAAAAATACGCTATTATAGAGACTATTTATAGACTGGGTGGCATGGTGTGAGAAAGCTTCTGAAAGGCTGGCTGATAAAAAAATATGCTAAAAAATTCATTTTCACCCCCAAGGAAATGATTCCCCAAAATCACTTGTACTTCAAAAAAATACTCTATTATAGAGACAATTTATAGGCTGGGTGGCATGGTGTGAGAAAGCTTCTGAAAGGCTGGCAGATAAAAAAATATGCTAAAAAATTCATTTTCACCCCCAAGGAAATGATTCCCCAAAATCAGTTGTACCTCAAAAAAATACTCTATTATAAAGACTATTTATAAGCTAGACGACAAGGAGAGATAGCAGATAAGAAAAATAAGTAAGAATTCATGTTCACCTCCAAGGAAATAATTCCCCAGAATGCGACATAGCCCAAAATTTCTGAAATTAGTGGACCAGATCACGCTATATGGTATCTACTAAAGAAGGGTCAGCCAAATGTATATATTAATGGAAACGTATTATATCTAGGTGAAGCATTTAGTTAGTTGGCTCTGCAGAGGTCACATATTTATTACGCATTTTCTCGTTTACGTCCATGTTTTTCTCCAATTCTGCTGCTGTAAGGAGACACTTCAAATGCTTCTACACAGCCTACAAGCGAAACTACAATCTGCCTTGTCTCGACCTGTGGAACAGGCACAGAAAAGGCAAATATCCGTCATAACTGAGCTGTTGCGAAATAACATCCACTTGAAATTTATCCTTTGTTCATCTATATCTACTTGACAGTCCAGCCTCATGTTTTGGCAAGTTTTTGGAAAAAATGTATTATATATATATATACCTCTGCCAGCCTTTCAGAAGCTTTCTCACACCATGCCACCCAGGATATAAAATGTCTCTATAATAGAGTATTTTTTTGAGGTACAACTGGTTTTGGGGAATCATTTCCTTGTGGGTGAAAATGAATTTTTTAGCATATTTTTTATCTGCCAGCCTTTCAGAAGCTTTCTGACACCATGCCACCTAGCCTATAAATAGTCTCTATAATGGAGTATTTTTTTTCAGGTACAACTGATTTTGGGGAATCATTTCCTTGGGGGTGAAAATGAATTTTTTTAGCATATTTTTTATCTGCCAGCCTTTCAGAAGCTTTCTCACACCATGCCACCTAGCCTATAAATAGTCTCTATAATAGAGTATTTTTTTGAGGTACAAGTGATTTTGGGGAATCATTTCCTTGGGGGTGAAAATGAATTGTTTAGCATATTTTTTTATCTGCCAGCCTTTCAGAAGCTTTCTCACACCATGCCACCTAGCCTATAAATTGTCTCTATAATAGAGTATTTTTTTGAGGTATAACTGATTTTGGGGAATCATTTCCTTGGGGGTGAAAATGAATTTTTTTGCATATTTTTTTATCTGCCAGCCTTTCAGAAGCTTTCTCACACCATGCCACCTAGCCTATAAATTGTCTCTATAATAGAGTATTTTTTTGAGGTACAACTGATTTTGGGGAATCATTTCCTTGGGGGTGAAAATGAATTTTTTGCATATTTTTTTATCTGCCAGCCTTTCAGAAGCTTTCTCACATCATGCCACCTAGCCTATAAATTGTCGCTATAATAGAGTATTTTTTTGAGGTACAACTGATTTTGGGGAATCATTTCCTTGGGGGGTGAAAATGAATTTTTTAGCATATTTTTTTATCTGCCAGCCTTTCAGAAGCTTTCTCACACCATGCCACCTAGCCTATAAATAGTCTCTATAATAGAGTATTTTTTTGAGGTACAAGTGATTTTGGGGAATCATTTCCTTGGGGGTGAAAATGAATTTTTTAATATATTTTTTTATCTGCCATGCCACTTAGCTCATGAATTGTCTCTGTAATAGAGTATTTTATTGAGATATAAATCATTTTGGGGAATCATTTTAATGGAGGTGAAAATGAAGTTTTATTTATATTTTTTTATCTAGCACCCCTTTAGAGATTTTCTCAGTATATGCTATTTAGCTCATTAATTACTTTCAATACAGTAATCGGTAAGTGAAAATTCGAAGAAAGGTTTTGGGTTAACTCTTGTTCCTGCGAATTATTTAATTAGGGTGGAAAATGATTCTTCCTATAGGGGTGCTTATTCTCGTGCATATATATTTATTGTTGTGAGCTGTTAGCTGTATCCTTCACAATCACAGTCTGGTCGAGGATGTCGACGCCACTGGTCATTCGGGTATCTTCGGCAAATTGTCCGCTAAAATGGTTTTAAATAAATTCCCTGTTACTTCCGCGAAAACTGTATAAGAATTTTCAAATTTCATAATTGGACGGTAGAGGTTCTTGCATCTCATCTCGTCTTTTTATGTCTTCCTCTTGTAACCTAACTTCTATGCCTCCATTTTTGATATTATTCACTGCTGCTATTTTTATTTGTAACTTGGATTAGGTAATATGCTAGTTTAGTTCATGTTTTGTTTCAATATTGTTCTGTTTG